CGAGCAACGGCCTCGCGAGTCGGTAAAAATCTTTAGTTTGGTGTCGATAAGTGAGGTGTATGAACTAGCAAAACATTGGTGAAAGGATTGCAGTGTTTGGACAACATCAACAACAACAGGACGGAGCATCAGCAGCGTGTGCAGCAGCCTGTAAGCTGAACAACACCTGTAAGATCTGTCCATTTATTTCTCTTAACAATAACATCAAACATGGTAACTTTGGAATCGCAATACCTGCTTTCCGAAGATATCGAACGGGAGTTTAAGAACTATAAAAAGGATGGCGCTGAACGTAAGAACAGTTTTGAGTATTTCAAAAGGCGGTGGAACAAACTAGAGGAACTATGGAATGAATTCCAATTTAATCACGAACAATTACTAGAAAACATTAGCCAAACAGACCCATATTTTGAAAACAAACAGTACGACGCGACTAAAGCGATCTACACACAGTTCAAAAACCTCATTAACAGTGATTGTCAACAATTCCAATCACAACAGACGGCATCTACCTCTAAGATGTCTGATAAACAGAGAATGTCAGGGACAGAACAGCTGCAGGGTGAACAAGGATCCTACAGCAAGTTAGACGAAACATTACGTAAACAGCTAGGCAACTTCAAAGCATTTGAGAGAACAGTGTCTAATATCAACATAGAACAGATGACAGATAAGTGGGAGTTTGAGGACGCATTGAAATTATTAGAAACACGTTGGACAACAATAGACAGCTTACATTGGGAAATAGACAGTGAGTTAGATGGTAAAAACTTAGAGTACGAAGCAAGGTTTTCTAAAAACGAAAAACAATACAACATGTTGAAAAAGGAAATTAACAAGAAAATGTGGTCAGTGTCGCATAGAGAGAAAACAACTCCAACATTAGACATCCCGGTGTTCGGTGGGAACTACACGCAGTGGGTGTCCTTCAAAGACTTGTTCAATGATTAAAACACCAACCTGAAAAATCAAAACCAGAAGCAGAAAATAAAACAGACGTGAAGAGAGGATGTGGTTCCAATAACAAGAAGACAAACATTATTACTATGACATTTATGTGCATTACTATTTTGAACATGATTATGACCGGTCAATGTCTGCAAGTGCAGTCATTGAACGAACAACAAGGACTGTATTTTGACAAAATCGGCAACATGCAACTTATCAGAGACGAATGGAAAATAATTGCTTATTACAACATGGAACCCTACTGGGAAGGAACATCGGCGTATAATCAATACTATAATCATCTGAGTACTATCTGTCAACTTATAAATAAATCAACCCACTGCAATATTCTCATGTTACAATTGGATCACACTTACAATGAAATGAAACATAACAATCGAGTACTGCTAAATCAACAATTAAGCGCACGCGCCCGAAAGCGCCGCGGCCTTATCAACGGTGTCGGTTACCTAGCCAACGAGCTCTTCGGAGTATTGGATGACCGATTCGCGGAACAGTATGAACGAGACATTACGGCGATCAAAGATAACGAGAAACACCTGGCACTACTATGGAGAAACCAAACGTCTGTAGTAGAAGCGGAGTACAATTTGTTGAAAAGAACTGAGGACATGATACAAAAACAACATAAGATTATTAATCAACATTTATTGAAATTAGACGTCACTACTAACATATTAGAGAAAAAGGTGAACGAAGTTGAATACATGACCGAATTCACTTTATCTGCTATGGCGGCTAACAACATGCTGACTCAACTGAAAAACATGCAAGACACGTTATTAGATACTGTTACTAACGTGTACAATGGAAAGATCAACATTCACCTCATTGATCCTCAACAATTACAAAATCAACTAAGTGTTATTTCAAGTCAATTGAAAGAACTCACTTTGCCCATTGACAACATACAATCAGATTTACAGAACATTTACCAATTGCTACGAGTGAAAGCAAAAGTAACAAAACAATATTTGATATTGGAGATAAGAATCCCACTTACCAGCCGAGATAGTTATGAGTTGTATAACATTCAAAGTGTCCCACATCAAACTGGAAAAAATATGGTCACCCTACTACCTATTGAAAGTTACGTTGCAATGAACTTGCAAAAAGATTCATACCTACCTGTAACATCTACGGAACTAGGTCATTGCATGCTTCGTGACGTCAAAACATACCTTTGTCAACTGAAGACACCTGTTTACAAGATGAGAGCTGATAAAGATCTATGCGTTCAAGATGCAGCTGACCACTGTAAAACAATCACTACTGTCTGTCAGAACAAATGGATAAGTTTGAACAAAATGAACCAGAAAGCCGTGTAGCTCAGGAGGGCATCGAATTTAAATTCGTTCCCCCACATAGTCCTCATTTTAACGGTCTGGCAGAAGCAGCGGTCAAATCAACCAAATACCACCTTAGACGCTTGCTACAGACAACCAACTTCACATTCGAAGAGATGGCTACATGCCTCGCTCAAATTGAGGCCGTTTTAAACTCCCGTCCACTCACTCCTCTCTCTTCAGACCCAGGGCCGGATCGTGAATTTGTGGGGCCCTGGGCTGAAACTTCTTATGATGTTGTCACGTAAAAATATTGTCCGTAAACCAACTTTACAGAATTTTTTTTTTTTGCTTGTAGGTGGCTTTTTTTTTTGTTAGTCATCGTACGCCGCCCGCACGTCTCCTCCCGCGCGTTGTTGGGTTCCCAACAATGTCTGCAAGTGCAGTCATTGAACGAGCAACAAGGACTGTATTTTGACAAAATTGGCAACATGCAACTTATCAGAGACGAATGGAAAATAATTGCTTATTACAACATGGAACCCTACTGGGAAGGAACATCGGCATATAATCAATATTATAATCATCTGAGTACTATCTGTCAACTTATAAATAAATCAACCCACTGCAATATTCTCATGTTACAATTGGATCACACTTACAATGAAATGAAACATAACAATCGAGTACTGCTAAATCAACAATTAAGCGCACGCGCCCGAAAGCGCCGCGGCCTTATCAACGGTGTCGGTTACCTAGCCAACGAGCTCTTCGGAGTATTGGATGACCGATTCGCGGAACAGTATGAACGAGACATTACGGCGATCAAAGATAACGAGAAACACCTGGCACTACTATGGAGAAACCAAACGTCTGTAGTAGAAGCGGAGTACAATTTGTTGAAAAGAACTGAGGACATGATACAAAAACAACATAAGATTATTAATCAACATTTATTGAAATTAGACGTCACTACTAACATATTAGAGAAAAAGGTGAACGAAGTTGAATACATGACCGAATTCACTTTATCTGCTATGGCGGCTAACAACATGCTGACTCAACTGAAAAACATGCAAGACACGTTATTAGATACTGTTACTAACGTGTACAATGGAAAGATCAACATTCACCTCATTGATCCTCAACAATTACAAAATCAACTAAGTGTTATTTCAAGTCAATTGAAAGAACTCACTTTGCCCATTGACAACATACAATCAGATTTACAGAACATTTACCAATTGCTACGAGTGAAAGCAAAAGTAACAAAACAATATTTGATATTGGAGATAAGAATCCCACTTACCAGCCGAGATAGTTATGAGTTGTATAACATTCAAAGTGTCCCACATCAAACTGGAAAAAATATGGTCACCCTACTACCTATTGAAAGTTACGTTGCAATGAACTTGCAAAAAGATTCATACCTACCTGTAACATCTACGGAACTAGGTCATTGCATGCTTCGTGACGTCAAAACATACCTTTGTCAACTGAAGACACCTGTTTACAAGATGAGAGCTGATAAAGATCTATGCGTTCAAGATGCAGCTGACCACTGTAAAACAATCACTACTGTCTGTCAGAACAAATGGATAAGTTTGAACAAAATGAACCAATACCTGTATTCTTGCTGTGATCACTGTCAATTACGAACAATTTGTAATGAACAAGTCACCGCACACGAACTGAAAGGGGCTAACATCATAAACATAGAGAACAGCTGCTTAATAAAAACAGCTAATTTTACCATTTACTCACATAAACAACACGAGAACAGAATTGAGCTAACATCCAACATTGAAATCCCTGTCATACCTCCCATAAATAACGTTATAAACATAACAGTCAAAAGCACACAAGAAGACATTACAGAAACATCAACTACTGATAAACTGCACCGCGATATAGAACAACAGATAAAGAACATGAAAGAAAATCAGGCGTTACCGAATGACATCTCTGCTCATGATGTTCACCACTATTCATCAATATGGGGATTATGGGCAGTAGTAATCATCGCGGGTATAATTTTCATCTGTCGTCGCCGTGGTTACCACTGTAACCGGCAGCGACAATCGACGAACACGGAGACAACAGGAGCGGCGGAAGGAGCGGCGGCGGCTGGGCCCAGTTCTGGCCCGCAGCCGAGCCCTCACAGCGAAACACCAAGTGCTAAGTGTAGTGATAGTGAGAGCGTGAAAGTGAATGTGCGCGGTTATAAAGAAAGGGGTACGACCCCAGTGTTACGAAAAATCGCATTTAGTGAGGACTCGTAAACATAACATTTAGAGACATTAAGTTTTAAAGTTTTCTAAACATGTCTAACAGACCTTTCAAATTAGTTTTACTATCTTGTGTAACATTATTTTATATCTTTTTGATTATCTTATTTTTCTCTTGCCCCTCGGCAAGTAATTTTTAGAGTGTCTGTCGCATATTATAGTATTCATTTATTCATATTCAACAAGAAACATGTGACTGATAGGAGTCACAAGCTGATAATAGCAACGATTAAACCACTGATGTTATTATCGTACCGTTAGTGATTGATTCAAATCGATAAACAGTTGTTCCTGTTGATGACACGGCTGCACTCGGCCGACCGCTGGCCGATCGCCAGTCGGCTATAATTGGTGGTCGCTAAATCAGATACAAGCGGTATTATTAGCTGACCACTCGGCCACTGGCCTTCCTCACAATGCAATTCCGGTAAAAAGTTATCGGTATCATTGCAAGCGCACTTGGACTTGACCTCTTGACTAGACTAGACATAGTTTTTTTGGGATCGGTCAAGAACCTCTTTCTTGCCAACCTAAAGTTATTGAAGTCTGGCCGAATATTGAAAAAAAAACTGCGATTTTGTCATTTTGATGGCTTCATTCATTTTGGTTTTGTGTTTGTCAGGGTAATGGCGAATTTTTACTAAAGCCATGTCTTTGCCATACGGCCCACCTCAAGCCGTCTCACCCTTAATCCGAGGGGTGAGGTTCGCTTTGCTACTGGCTGGCATAATATATGCCCAGGGGAAGCAAAGACTGTACAACTCCATGGAAGCTTCCTACCGGGAAGAAGAAGCCCGAAAGAAGGTCATTCGCGACAAGCAGATGGCTATCTTGAAAGCGAAAATCGCTGCCGAGGAGAAAGAGGCAGTGCGGTTGTTGGAGACTGGAAAATTATTCGATACAGGTGTGAAATTGTAACGATTGCTCTGTAATGACTGTACCGGTACTGTTATCGTAGTTGACCTAGTAGCTCAATTTAAATGTACTTACAATGTACTTAATGTTCGATAACAAAGTAGTGCAGACAAATAAATAATTTAGGTACGTTTATAAGTCAGTATCGTACCTACTTGATTAGTAATTAAACTAGACCAACAACCAAGTCAACCAACGGTCACGAAGTTCTTAGTTCTACGATTGAGAGTTTGTTCATGTTTCTTCAGTTGAGATTATCTTAATAGGTACCTATTAACAGTCATCATCATTGCCTTTCAAACTTTGTCAATCTCAATGATTGTTTGTTATCATCCTAACCACATGTTATTCGTGCATTCTATTTTATAAGTACTTACATGAGTTGTCTAGCAGTGGACGTCTTTCGGCTAGAACGAACGAACATGATTTTAATTTGTCTTAATAATTCTTTGCAGGACCCGGTGGAGGTGGTGGTGGTGGAAGTGGTGGTTCTGGCTGCTAGAAATTGATGGTTACTCCAATGTTATTACGATTACAATATTTAATTTAATTAGGAAAAATGTGAAATCTAAAATTTTCAGCAAATTAAACCAAACGTAAAAAACAATAATTGTAAGTTATTTATTTCCTAAAATTATCTTGGATAAATAAGTATTTCTGTTTGTTACAAGTACAAATTTTAATATACAGAGAGTACTTAGTTAACTTTCCCTGCAGGTAGTTTGAAAGTAGTACAATGCAAGAGAAGCGAATTTTCTCCATTCCCAGTGACATTATCGCGCTCTCATGGTGTTTGACGAGTCAACAAATGAATGACACTCAAAGTAAAATAATGTGCAATAACTTACACACGGCATGGTTCAAAGTTCCGGTTTTAAGTTATAAAATGACCGTGATGGCCCATTCAAAGTCAAAAATGATTGCGTTGCGGTAAACGAAACGTACTTATAATGTTTTTCTCCACGACGTTTAGGAGTTCCGATTTATGAATTGGTACCTATTGATATTTTACTAAATTGCAGCTATTTAAACTAAATATCCTGTACATATTAATATTGCTTGAATGTTAAAATTACTTTCTATAACAACCCTTCAGATTAAAGATAAAAACGTTATATATTCCGGTAATAATTAATCTACGGATATTCTACCGGCATCATTGCAACTCTACATACCTAGTAACAAATATTTTGAAACAATAAAAGTAACTGAAAAATATTGCCATAATTTAAAATATTTCTTGTGGCTAGAAATAAAAAAATTTCTTATCGGCTTTAAGTATGCGGTTTCGCTTAGAACTTTTACAATGACAAAAATATTAATTCGTTGCGTATCTCGTCTCGTCAATCAAGTTGCACTGCAATCTCGCTTTCTACAGAGCTTTACGTATTTCAAACGCGTCCTTTGTAGAAACTTCAAAAGCGTACAAACAAAACGTGAAAGTCCAACAGAAACTGATGTAACATACCACGTTTAAGGGAACTGGCAACTTTTCTAACAAATAAAGCCAAACATTAATCAACTGGGGTTTGTCGACTACACCAATTCTTTCTTGCCCAGATATATCAATTTGTAATGGATAGGTACTGCATTTAACTTCTTCTGTGATTTAGTAGTAAGACCACAGAGGTCTGGTACAAATCCAGAGGTCTCGGATTCGTTTCCCAACGGGAAAATATTTTTTTGCTCGGTTTGGTTGGTAACTTTGGTAAGTAGGGCTTGTTAGTAAAGTGAGATGCTGGTCAAGAGCTTTTCAAGTTACGAAGGAATAAGATAAAAAAATGGGCCGATTTTTAACACGTTTAATGACTTTACTTACCTACTAATGACGTAAACAAACACTACCAAAACGGGTTAATAAGTGTTAGTTCAATGTTTTAAAAATAGGCACTACTACCACAAATAATTCATCTGTGATAATAACTCATAAACATTCGCCTCTTGTAGATTAACAACTATTTTACCCATTCGAAGCGCTATCTTATAATTTTGCTGTTACTTTACATAAATTAAAGACGGAGTCGCTAGTGGTCATCGGATATAACCACATCTATGAGGATTGAGGAGTCATCATCGTGTTACGCCTTGTTGACACGTTAATCATTTTCCTAGAGCTGGAAAAGTGGCCATCAAAGTACACTTACCTAAGCGTACCCATATAACCTACTCGTTAATAGAGATCCAAAATACGTTTGTCTCCCAGAAATAAAAGTTCTTAATGTTACTTTCTGCAAATACGTTGGCCTGAACAAGTTGAAAAGCGCATTCACACGTCCCAAAACATTTAAATTGGCTTTTGTTTTTTAACAACATAGCTGCTATTCCAGACTCTACTTTATTACTAACTCACTTCTGAGCTCTTATTGTTTTGCAATTAAGTACCTATTATCAAGTCAGGAAAATCAAATGGAACCACTAATTTGAACTGTAAAATTGTATAAATTGTTTTGGACCAAATAAAAAAAAAATTCTTTCTTTCTTTCTTTCTTTCTAATTTATGTAGGTAGGTATGCCTATTACCTTTTCCATCGAATGAATTGTGTTTTTTTTTCAGTCAGTTAAATCACTGGGCTGGGCTGTGTTCCCAGGCATAACTACTTACTTATCAGCTTTGTTCTTTAATACCGACCCACATCACCACCTTGCGCCTTGGTACTTAAAACGGTATTTAATGACGTCATATTACCGGGTGTCACTACACGGCGTGGGTTCTCGACTGGAACAGGCAGACATTACCTCATACTCCAAGCAGAAAAAAGGCGTGTGGGCGAGAGCATTGTACGATAACAGTACCTTACTGCAAAAGCGTGCTCGAATCGCGATGCCTACAACAACCTTTGTATACATAATTGTAATTAGTGGTGGTAAAATAACTACTGAGATTTAAAGAGTTAGAATTTCATGTCTACAGGTGTCCTACAGACTTAGGCTGATTTGTACCATCTAACTTTAACGGGGTGCTTTTCGTGTGGAGTTTGACAGATTTTTGACGTTAGTTAAAGTTTTAGTTGCGGCTTTAAATGGGTTTACAGATTTTCAGTTGTCAAATAATTATCTGCTTTTTAGTGACTAATTAGAACTTTAAATTTATTTATTGCCCAACCATTGCCTGAAGCTGTGTTCAAATTTAAAATTACTTTTGAGCGTTATTTTGCTAAATGCAATCCTGTGGCTATTTTGTTACAAGCCAAATTCTTAAATGTTATGAATACTTTCTTAATTAAAACTAAGTAATCTACTATTACGAATTGCTGCAAAAAATAAGTATAGTTAGCTACGTTGCTCCACACATTGCAATAAAATTCACTCCCTTTGCAGTCCCTCATATTTTCATTTCGTCGCAGTCGCCTGCGCATAACGACCGAGTACCGTTGGGTAACTTAATAACCAGAAACTAGACCTCGTCATAGTCTATGTTCTAAGTAATGAACGTCATAAGACGCGGGGTAAAAATAAAGGTCTATCGATTAACTCAATGCCTAAGGCATGGAAGCGGGCACTAGAGGGGTGACATTGACATAATATGACGTGACAGAGAATACAAATATAGTTCCAAAATACTGGATTGTCCTGTCGATGACATTGACAGTGGGGCGCCACCGTCAATACCGGATCGCTGGTTCAGATTTTTGCCATGTTGGAAACCATATAGTTGAACGATGGTAGCGCCCCCCTGTCATTGAGTTTGGTGGGACAGTTCAGCGTGGGTCATCTATAAGCATATTTGAAGTCTCACTGACGTTTGACGTCTCATAAACACCCTCCCGGGCCGCTCCCATACCTCAGGCACTTAATGAGTTCTTAAGCACTAGACCTTTAGTGCACAAATCTACATAAAAACTCCGGTGTATAGGTAAAAGAGGAAAGAAATAACTCGTTTGAAGGGTCTGTAATAAAGTGGATGGAATTATGCCATTTATAAAATGCGGAGTGGTCAACCTGGTACAAAAATAACGGGATTATCTTGCGCTATGATAAAACGCGTTTATAGGTAGGTCGGTGTGGGTGGATTTGGTAGAGTTTCGTGAGACACTAAAAAGTAGTTCTTGTCCGAATTCTAACACAGTTTCATGATAAAATATAGCACACATCATTACAATACTTATGTACTTTTATTAGATAGGTATGTAACTTTTACAATAGTTATCGTAACTTGACTTCAAATGTTACTTTGAAACGCTGAACCCATAATATGGTACCCCATATTAAAGTGGGAAATAAAAAAATGTGTACCTATTTATGTTTTATTTACATTAATCATATGACTTTTAATTAAAACCTCTATTTTGATTTTAATCATTCGATATTTTGATCGTTCGATCATTTGTAAATTCGATATTCTGAACGTTCAATAAATTTTGATCGTTCGATATTTTGATCGTTCGATGAAACGTGTAGTCTAAGATCCCGCTATACAACGACCTTCACCGAGATGCTTATTTGATGAAACATATTTTATATTCAATTTAACATGTCAATAATTATATTGCTTAAGGGTTGCCTAATAAATTTCAGTCCAGGATATGATTAATTAATCATTAAAAAAAGTTTTATTTTTAAATATTTCATCGGTTTGATTATTAAACAAACTCCATACCAATCGAAAGTATGAAGCCCATAGAATATGCAAACGTTAGGTTGCCTATTCTTTTCCAGTCATAACTCTCGGGTTGCCAGGTATAAACAGGTAAATTGATAGAGCATTTTGCATCGGTCTGATAATTTAATCAAATATAAATGAAAATAAAGATTATTTCATTATGAACACGGTGGTATAGGGTTGCCTGCGAAAAATCAGTCCTGAATGACGGTTGTCGAATTTTGTAAAGTGAAATTAAAACTGAAAGGTGACATTTTTCGAGTAGTTGGCAACATTTGGGAAAGACGAGTTGTATGAGGCGTTTGTGTGTCTTGTCAAGAGGTGTCGCTTGNGTACCTCAATAAGTCAAAGTCAAAGTCAAAATTTCTTTATTTGTTTAGACTAATAAATAGTTCTTACAAATCGTCATTTTGCTCTTAAGGAGCCTCTACATGTCTCATAATCTTTTTACCCTACCAGCGCTTCGAGACCAACATTTGGCAAGTGCTGAGAAGAAGCGCCGCAACAAACTCAGTCACCACTGTCTGCCGGTTAATATAAATAAATAGAAAAAGCAGTAGTAGGTACATTTGATTCAGGAGCAGTTCACTGAATTTACCACGCATTCTTGTATGATGTATCTTATAAGAATGGGTGTACAAAATTGCGTGGCATATTAAATAAGGTAGTAACGTGCTAATATCTAGACTTACAGATTAAGATACTTAAATACTAGTAGAAGAAATGACTCGCATTAATAAATTTGAATAACTTGGATTGACCAGACCCCGAAAGCAGCGCCTGTTCACAGACATGACGAGTGAACCAGCCAGCCAATAAAAAAATAACTCTAACTGATTTATCAGTCCCTCAACAAAAATATATTTTTTATTTAGGCCAGAGGGCCTCGTATTTTTGTTGTACAACTTTTAACTCAAATTTCAGATTAAATTTATCTTACAAACAGATACACAGTCACATATACAGACATACATACAGTCATACAGACAGACAACAAAAATACGAGGCCCTTATTTATTTATTGATGTACAGTCGCGGAATGAAAAGGTTCGTCACCTTAGTGTCGGTTTTCGCTTGCACTAGGTACTGTAAGAGTCAAACCTGCCAACATAACAGTGCAAGAAACAGTGCTGCTAACATTTAAATAAATAAATGACGTTTGCTAACGAATAAGGTTTTGCTTGTTTATTTTTCTATCCCATCAGTGCAATGCAATGATGACATTGACCAATTGACAATAGTTTTTTTATTTAATAGAAAAAATAGTGCAGGTTAAACCAACAAGAAGGTTTTAGTTTATCAATCATAATAATCTTCTTGACAAGATAAATCGTCAAACAACTTTGATCTGAATAATTTTGAACTTTACTGATGAACAGTTAACGATTATTTTCTCTAACTCGAGATTATTCTGTAACATAGTTTCAAAAGGTAATATGTGCTCGCGATTCGTTGAAGGAATCAATTTGAAAACTGACGAACCTTTTCATTCCGTGACTGTACTTACCACGTATAATTTATTAGTTGTTAAAATATTGTAAAAACATAAACACCAGTCACTATATTTTAAAATAAACCAAAGCAAGAAATCACTTTCGTGGCCTAAAATAACCTTCGTGTATAAAACACCACGAAGGTGATGCCACGAAGGTGACGAAAATTTTAGTTTTTTATGAATTATCGTTAAATTTGAATTTAACGGTTCAAGTCGAATACTACACAAATAAGTCTAACATGTTAAGTTTTCAATGGCAAAGTTTCAATCAAATTGTTTAAATTTTAGAGGTAGAAAATATTGTTCAAGCAACCGACGGTAAGTCTATGGATAATCACAAAAAGTTACGTATTTTTTTCGCAGAGCGACGATCGACCTATCTCACCTACCCAATAGTCGAAGCGCGACTGACGTTAACCGAATAGAATGCTGTGATTGGTTGCTGGTGTTCGGTTTAACGGCAATCTTGTATTATTACTCAAAANAAATCATTACCATTAGGAAAACGTCATTACCATTTTGTGAAAAAATATTTGGACGCTTGTTACTTCTAAAATCACGATTGAATCTAAGGGCCTCACACTGATCTGAAAAGCTTATTGCTTAACCTTTCAGTTTAAGCTAGTTTGCACGCATCCCTGTTAAGTTTTTCAAAAAACGTAAAATAAATCCCGCGGAATAAAATCGGCGGATCTACCCAATTGTTATCCACTCTAAAATCCCGATCAACTAAAAGGGTTGATGTAAAGATGTTATTATAAGTTAATTACTTATTTAATCAATCAATATTTCTGTCAGCAGCCAAAGGACGTCCGTCTACTGTTAGAGACAAAGGCCTCCATTTTTAGGGTTCCGTAGTCCTCACAAGGAACCTTTATAGTTGCGAAATGTCTGTCTGTCCGAGGTTTTAGGTTAGAGGTTGTTGCTAATTGCTCATAAGATAGGCCCCCTTAATTTAATTTATTGTCCGTGTGTATAATCTTTTCTTGAAGGTTTTAAACCTTTGTTTGTCACCTGTCATCCGCTTTGCAATGGAGGGAAGTCGAGCCTTAATTTCGAACTCCTCCTATGTTCTGATTAATTTCGTTGCGGGTCCAATGACAGTTTAACTTTCCCCCGGGACAAACTTGACCTTCATTGGTTGGGTTTTTGTGGCGGTCAAGCTGTAGATCCTGGCTACACAGGAGTTGCAGTGGTGGGAACGAGAGGTGGGAATAGTCCCGTTTGTCTGAGGTTTTACTTGGGAACTATTGGGACTAGAAAGCTGTAATTTTGTGGAGGTATGTAGGTATTAATCACGCCGACAAAACGGTAAAGTGTGGATGTTTTTTTTTCTTCTTCTACCCCATCGTGTGGGGTATCGTTGGATAGCTCTTTTAAAATGGCTTAGGGGTTTCTAAGACCATTTTTCAATTGAGGGATCCGTTTGCAAAATGTTCCAGTTTAAAGTGCCAATTTTTGTTCGAGTAGGGCGTCCCCCCTCTAAAACTAAACTGTTGGCTTGAAAAATCTTTAAAAATTCATGACAATAGTGCTTTTTATGAACTTTCAAGGAAAACTATAGCAGTTAAGATAGATTAGATAGTTTAAGAGTAATAGTCATTTTACTCATGACCTATAAAAAATCCTTAGAAGAAAATATTAAAAGTGACTTTAGATGAAGTAATTGCTTGCTTCTGAAATATATTGTGGTAACGAAGGACAACTACGGAACCCTACACTGCGCGTGGCACGAGGCACGACACGCACTTGGCCGGTTTTTATTCAGTATGTTATATTGAAAATAATTTACGTTTTGCGGCGTTTTGTCCCTTACATTAAATTGTAACCCGGTTGTTACTACTTGCAGATATATTGCACCCGCTGTTATCATTTTGCAGATAAACACTAACATCTGAAAAATATATTCAGAAATTTAACTGAGTTGCGTGCGTGTTCAAATTAAATAAAGTTGAAATCTTTTTTGGTAAGTAGGTTTTACCTGGAATTGGTATAGACTTCGAAACTTGGAAAAGCTTTTGATGATTTCTTTCAAATAAATATCAGTTTCACTGTATCTGAGATCGTGAGTTTTTGCAGCCAACTCCCGCATATAATTCTTCGAATAAATTATTGTGTCATATGAGTAATACTTGCTGATTCTGGTCGTGTGGTTGTCGATTATAGAGTTAACAAAACGTATGCGAATGGTGTAGTAAGCCATAAGAGTAGAGCAATGACTTAAATCCAAGATGTTTGTAACTTCGCTTAGAGTTACTGTTACTACTATCAACATAACTGGCATGGCGAGAAAGACTGTTGCAGTGACAATAGTGGCAATTAGACCCAATGTGAGCAGAGTTGTCGAAATAACGCTTATTTTTCGGACAATACTATTGATAGAATTATTATGTTCCAATTTCATAGAACGATCAAGTTCTTGCATGGAGATAACAAATTCAACGTTACGGATGTTATTAACGAATCGAACATGGATCATGTTAAACAAATAGGCCAAGAAATGTATAACTAACGTGGAAACAGCGCCTTTGTGCAAATTGGCGTTGACGGTATATTTGGACAAATAAGTGAAGTGCACGGCCACATACAACATAGCAACTATCAATAACATTAACAGAGTATATATCTTTTGATAAACAGTCGGTAAAGACACAAACCGATCTGTGACATCGACTCTACATGATCCAAGCACAAATTGCACGGTGCGTACAAGCGAGAAAGTTTCGTAAAGATTTGTATCTAGAATATTTTTGGATATGTACTCAGAAGCAATCATTGTAGGTAGATTCGTATTTTGCTGTAGCTAATATGTATGGTGTATGTTTATGATTACAAAGTAGAGATTTGTAGCAGTACAATGGTGTAAGTGGCTGTTATAGCAAACATTTGGAGCGGCAGTCGGGAGCCAAGGATAAAAACGTTGAATATCGATATCTCACATCTCTCTTGGGTTAGTATTAGCATTAATTGCTTAGCATAGTCTCTCGATTTACCTGAAAGCAAAATTGATAGTGAAATTCTACAGGCCAGCTTAAGCATAAAATTAGGATATTTCAGAAGATAATAGTCGTGATGCACCTCCTACGGTTTTCAAATAAGTAATACTAGTAGTTAACTAACTTCAATGAAGTGAGGCAACGGAGGTTAGATATCTATGATATCCAAAAGTAGACTGCAGATTATGTAATTTAAAATGAAGAATTAGAAATACATAACTTTAATTACTATGATTTTAATCAATACTTATAGTTATTGGATTAAAAACTGGTAAGTGCTATACCTTTTATTGTCTACAATTGATGAGTTTTGTTAATTGCTACCAATATCTACTTGATACAGTAATTTCCTATAATAACACAATGTTCAAGGTGCGGCTGATAAGATCAATTTGTATTGATGAATTTCCAAATTTAAAACAACCACTGCCAAGGGGCAAGAGGGGAGTACCTACTCCCACTTACTATGTATGACATTGGCGCCCAATCTCCACGGCGTTCTTTTATCATCCGAGTGGTCCTCCTAGCATTCCAATCTCCTAAAAAGATGGTTGTACATTATCATTCTAAAATTCTGAACTTACCATTGTTTAACAGCGACTTTATGTTCAAACTAAGCTTCCTTGTCCTTTCGAGGCTCGAAGTTAGATATCCAGCGGTGATTGAAATTACTAGAACGATCGTACCCAAACACACTTGTACTGGTATCGTTGAAGCCCATAAATAGCCACGAATCTCTACCTGAAGAAATATTTCAAAAGGTAAAAAAATTGTCTTGCATTGCATTAGGTAAGTAGAATGTTTTGACTAAATAACGTAGGGCAGGTGACCCGGTTTCGGCCATTTTAAGAATTTTTTAGACTTTGAGGCTATATCATTTTATAGTTTTTGTTATCACGGACTTATTTCTTGTAAAAAGTGATTAAATATATTTAGATCTAGCCTAAGGATACATTTTTTTTCATAATGATTCAATGGAAAAATAATCCTGTAGAAAAGAAAAAGAAAAGGGAATTTGTACCATTTTTGGCCAGCTTTACCCCATTTCTGGAGACAGTCATGTGCCAGTTCTGGCCATCAAAATTTATCAAAAAAAAAAAAAACAAAAACTACTCGACGGATTTTAACGAAACTTGGTACAATTATTTTCCATACTCCTGGGCAGGTTATAGTATACTTAGGAAATCCCACGGGAACAGGAATAAGCGGGAAAATCCTTTTGTATGAAAAATCTAAACCGTTTAAGTTAGACGCTTGAAATTTGGCATGTAGGTACCTTAGTAAACTTAAAGCTTAGTTACAATAAGTAATTCCCAAAATTCCCACGGGAACGGGAATTAGCGGGAAAATCCTTTTGTATGAAAAATCTAAACTGCTTAAGTTAGACGCTTGAAATTTGGTATGTAGGTACCTTAGTATAAACTTAAAGCTTAGTTACAACAAGGAATTCCCGAAATTCCCACGGGAACGGGAATTCGCGGGAAAATCCTTTTGTATGAAAAATCTAAACTGCTTAAGTTAGACGCTTGAAATTTGGTATGTAGGTACCTTAGTAAACTTAAAGCTTAGTTACAAGGAATTCCCGAAATTCCCACGGGAACGGGAATTCGTGGGAAAATCCTTTTGTATGAAAAATCTAAACCGCTTAAGTTAGACGCTTGAAATTTTGCATGCAGGTAGTACCTTAATAAACTTAAAGCTTAGTTACAACAGGATATTGCAAAATTCCCACGGGACCGGGAGTTAGCGGGAAAAAACATTTGTACGAAAAAATCTAAACCGCGTAAGATAGATGAAGGGTGTAAAACGGGATCCACGCGTACGAAGTCGTGGGCGGCTGCTAGTATGAAATATAATATCTCAGCTTGAATTGAAATTACAATTAAGGAGATCAACATTAACCTATAGTATAAGTTTATGCGGTTAGTACTGGAACAATTTTCTTTTCACAACACCGATTTTTTAGTATTTAGTTTCGGTGGAGGCATTATAATCGTAACTCTGAAAATGAATCGATTACTTATATCAAAATAGCTAAGTAATTAAATTGAAAAATTACGATAAAAACTAAATGGCCAAAAGTGGGGTTCTTCGTGCACCACTTTTGGCCAGTCATGTGGCCAAAGATGGGAAAATTCAATTATTCTGGCTCCATTAGTGGCCACCTCTCATAAACCCACTTAATAAACAAATAGCGATAAAATATCATTAGTACCACTTAGACAGTGTATTCTTCATTAAGGATTAACATAAACATTTAAAAAAATAAGAAGGATTTAGAAAATAATGATTGTTTACTCACCCGCTCGCCTTAGCCTTTTTGCTAAGACCTTAGATTAATAAAACCTAGATGGATAGTCTTCATACAAACGCGTCGTCAAGAGTGAGGCAAAAATCTTATGTCATTAGTGTCAATTTTGTCGGGGAGTGTAGACAGTGAAGGCGATTTTCCCGAAAGTAGGGAAATTTTTAATACNTGTTTATAAAACATATATTTTGTCTTATTTTCATAGATAAATAGCAATAACATAATATAAATAGGTACCTACTTAAATACAAGATAAAATTTTACCGATTAAGTCACCTACTAAGTTACAAGATTTTACGCAATTGGTTTTAAGGGTGACACTGGTGGCGTGGTGGCATTCTGAAATGCTAAAGAAGCAAAAAACGGATTATCAGTACCTCAATAAGTCAACGTCAAAGTCAAAATTTCTTTATTTGTTTAGACTAATAAATTTCTTACAAATCGTCATTTTACTCTTAAGGAGCCTCTACATGTCTCATAATCTTTTTACCCTACCAGCGCTTCGAGACCAACATTTGGCAAGTGCTGAGAAGACCACGGTCTGCCGGTTAATATAAATAAATAGAAAAAGCAGTACTAGGTACANCAGTTCATGTGACGTTTACGAGTAAGCCATTCTGGCTTACTAAAATCTGCCTCACCTTTCGTGCACTGACTATCTATCTAGGTTTTATTAATCTAAGGCTAAGACTTAAAACAATTAACGCTTCTCAAAAAATAATGACTTGTTGGATTGAAGTGAAGCTTGACACATCAAAGCTGTTAACGCTATCAGTGTTGCTAATATTAGCTATTTTTATTCCCGTAAACAATAGAGTAATATATTTGTCTTTGCCTTAGTTATAACGATTTGAAGTTCTAAATGGCCACAAAGGGGTCGGTGGCCACAACCGGGTCACTTGCCCTATAATGAACAAACGTTATAGATACCTATTCTTTTTAAATACACACCTTTTCTTTGACAGAGTCTATATAGCATTGAACTAGAGCCAAATTACAAAGCAACACCTGGGTCGTGAATGCGAAAACCTGCACATAATAAAATATTGTAGGTAAGCGTAACCTGGTGACTTCTTATGTCTTCATGCAGAATTTTTATTTTCTCTCAAGTATTAGATGATAATAAATGTAGGTAGTATAGTTACTTACTGGGAATCTAAAAAGTTTGGTGACATCGGCCAGCGTGTCCAAAATGCTATAAACACTGTAAACCAATTCTTGGTATTTGCTATTTTCGGACTTCTCATAGGGTGCCCCCAGATAATAAATCTGTAGAGAGGTCAATTCTGTACATGAAATATATTTTCAAAATAAATATCAGGGGGTGATTAGTGATCGATACTGATGCCAAAAATGCTATAAGTAAAATTTTTGTCTGTCTGTATGTTCCTTATTATAGAAACAAAAACTACTCGACGGATTTAAAACGAAACTTGGTACAATTATTCTTCATACTCCTGGGCAGGTTATAGTATACTTAGGATTTCCCACGGGAACGGGAATTAGCGGGAAAATTCTTTTGTATGAAAAATCTTAACCGCTTAAGTTAGACGCTTGAAATTTGGCATGCAGGTACCTTAGTAAACTTAAAGCTTAGTTACAACAGGATATTGCAAAATTCCCACGGGAACGGGAGTTAGCGGGAAAAAAATTGTATGAAAAAATCTAAACCGCGTAAGATAGATGAAGGGGGTAAAACGGAATCCACGCGTACGAAGTCGCGGGCGGCCGTTAGTAGGTAATAAAATTAATCTTCAAATACAATAATATTTATTTTGAAAGCAAACACACTTTACAAGAGCAACAATTGCAGTTCCGTTACAAACATAGTTGTGATAGTACTAAATAAGTGAAGGAGGTACATTCCTTCGATATCCCACATGCCGTATACAGAGAATCGAGGAGGGTTGGTCTCTATTGTTCTAAGCATTTTCTTGGCTTTTCTTCTGATAGGACCTATAAAGAAAATGACAATTTTAGGTTGATTTTATACTTACTTGACTCTGGAGCGTTATTTATTTATTATGCTACTTTTGCTAGTTATTACATACCATTCGTGTAAACGGACATCACTGATAGACACAATTGCTTAGTCTCTTTAAATTCCCTTAAGAATATTTCGCATCGTATACATATAAAGAGAGCTACACACATGTTGCTGAGTACGAAACTTGTAATTGTTATCCACTCTAAAATCCCGATCAACTAAAAGGGTTGATGTAAAGATGTTAATTAGGTATAAGTTAATTATTTAATCAATCAATATTTCTGTCAGCAGCCAAAGGACGTCCGTCTACTGTTAGACAAAGGCCTCCCTTAAGAATGTCCATTTTTAGGGTTCCGTAGTCCTGACAAGGAACCTTTATAATTTCGAAATGTCTGTCTGTCCGAGGTTTTACTTGGGAAGTTGGGAACTATTGGGACTAGAGAGCTGTAATTTTGTGGAGGTATGGATATTAATCACGCCGACAAAACGTTGGAATAAAATTTTGTAAAAAAATTTTTGGGGTAGCTCCCCTACATGTAAAGTGTGGATGTTTTTTTTCTTCTTCTACCCCATCGTGTGGGGTATCGTTGGATAGCTCTTTTAAAATGGCTTAGGGGTTTCTAAGACCATTTTTCGATTGAGGGATCCGTTTGCAAAATGTTCAAGTTTAAAGTGCCAATTTTTGTTCGAGTAGGGCGTCCCCCCCTCTAAAACTAAACTGTTGGCTTGAAAAATCTTAAATAATTCATGATAATAGTGCTTTTTATGAACTTTCAAGGAACACTATAGCGGTTAAGATAGATTAGTTAGTTTAAGAGTAATAGTCATTTTACTCATGTATTATAAAATGTCATACCTATAAAAAATCCTTAGAAGAAAATATTAAAAGTGACTTTAGATGAAGTAATTGCTTGCTTCTGAAAGACAGGGTGGCCCAGAAGAAAATTCACTTTTGAAAATTCAAGGAAACGAAAACTGTACATTTTTGTAGAACTTTAACTATTGCAATTTAAAGGAAATGTAGTGCAATTTATTTTAAAATTTACTTTCTTTTATAAATTTTATCGTACATGTGATTCCCTTGACGTTTACAACATTCGGTCATCATACATAAAAATTTTGGAAAACTTTCGTTAGAGTTACCTCGAAATGGATTTAGGATGGATGAATGCTGCAGAGTTTTTGGATTATTAAAGTATACTCTGCTCATAAGGTAACTAAACAAAAAGAAGTCTGCTGGAATGAGATTAGCGCTTCTTAGAGGCAGTGAGATTTTACCCCTGCTTAATTGGTTTGTTGCATTGAAAGGATGATTAATTTTTGAGAGCGCTATACAGGTAGGCTGAAAAGCTTTTTGATTTCAAAGCTGCAAGATTCGCAAGGCTATGACCGGAGCACTTGGTTTCATCAAGATGGGACTACGTGTCACACTTCAAATGAGAGCATTTAGTTGGTAAAAGACATGTTCCCACAAAAAAATAATTTCAGGCAGGGGTGACATCTCCTGGCCACCAGGAAGCCCTGATCTCACTCCAGAAAATTCTTTTTTGTGGTGTTACATTAAGAATAGAGTATACTTTTATATTCCATCAACCATGCAGCAACTGAAGCCGAGCATTCGGCAAAAAATTGAAAATAGATTTCGAGGTAATTCTAACGAACGCATTCCAAGATTTTGATACATGTTGATCGAATGTTGTAAGCGTCAAGGAAATCTCCTTGGCGATGTAATTTAATAAAGGTAAATTTAAAAATAAATTGCATAAAATTTCCTTTAAATTGCAATAGTTAAAGTTCTATAAACATGTACAGTTTTCGTTTTCTTTAATTTTCAAAAGTGAACTTTCTTCTGGGCCACCCTGTATATTGTGGTAACGAAGGACAACTACGGAACCCTACACTGCGCGTGGCACGACACGCATTTGGCCGGTTTTTATTCAGTATGTTATATTGAAAATAATTTACGGCGTTTTGTCCCTTACATTAAATTGTAACCCGGTTGTTACTACTTGCAGATATATTGCACCCGCTGTTATCATTTTGCAGATAAACACTAACATCTGAAAAATATATTCAGAAATTTAACTGAGTTGCGTGCGTGTTCAAATTAAATAAAGTTGAAATCTTTGTTGGTAAGTAGGTTTTACCTGGAATTGGTATAGACTTCGAAACTTGGAAAAGCTTTTGATGATTTCTTTCAAATAAATATCAGTGTCACTATATCTGAGATCGTGAGTTTTTGCAGCCAACTCCCGCATATAATTCTTCGAATAAATTATTGTATCATATGAGTCATACTTGCTGATTCTGGTCGTGTGGTTGTCGATTATAGAGTTAACAAAACGTATGCGAATGGTGTAGTAAGCCATAAGAGTAGAGCAATGACTTAAATCCAAGATGTTTGTAACTTCGCTTAGAGTTACTGTTACTACTATCAACATAACTGGCATGGCGAGAAAGACTGTTGCAGTGACAATAGTGGCAATTAGACCCAATGTGAGCAGAGTTGTCGAAATAACGCTTATTTTTCGGACAATACTATTGATAGAATTATTATGTTCCAATTTCATAGAACGATCAAGTTCTTGCATGGAGATAACAAATTCAACGTTACGGATGTTATTAACGAATCGAACATGGATAATGTTAAACAAATAGGCCAAGAAATGTATAACTAACGTGGAAACAGCGCCTTTGTGCAAATTGGCGTTGACGGTATATTTGGACAAATAAGTGAAGTGCACGGCCACATACAACATAGCAACTATTAATAACATTAACAGAGTATGTATCTTTTGATATACAGTCGGTAAAGACACAAACCGATCTGTGACATCGACTCTACATGATCCAAGCACAAATTGCACGGTGCGTACAAGCGAGAAAGTTTCGTAAAGATTTGTATCTAGAATATTTTTGGATATGTACTCAGAAGCAATCATTGTAAGTAGATTCGTATTTTGCTGTAGCTAATATGTATAGTGTATGTTTATGATTACAAAGTAGAGATTTGTAGCAGTACAATGGTGTAAGTGGCTGTTATAGCAAACATTTGGAGCGGCAGTCGGGAGCCAAGGATAAATACGTTGAATATCGATATCTCAGATCTCTCTTGGGTTAGTATTAGCATTAATTGCTTAGCATAGTCTCTCGATTTACCTGAAAGCAAAATTGATAGTGAAATTCTACAGGCCAGCTTAAGCATAAAATTAGGATATTTCAGAAGATAATAGTCGTGATGCACCTCCTACGGTTTTCAAATAAGTAATACTAGTAGTTAACTAACTTCAATGAAGTGAGGCAACGGAGGTTAGATATCTATGATGTCCAAAAGTAGACTACAGATTATGTAATTTAAAATGAAGAATTAGAAATACATAACTTTAATTACTATGATTTTAATCAATACTAATAGTTATTGGATTAAAAACTGGTAAGTGCTATACCTTTTTCTGTCTACAATTAATGAGTTTTGTTAATTGCTACCAATATCTACTTTGATAGAGTAATTTCCTATAATATCGTAATGTTGAAGGTGCGGCTGATAAAGATCAATTTGTATTGATGAATTTCCAAATTTAAAATAACCACTGCCAGGGGGCAAGAGTGGAGTACCTACTCCCACTTACTATGTAACGGTAGCGATATCGCCGAAATAAACTTTAAAAATGTTAAATCTAACTTATTCATTTTAAGGCTTCTAAAGCCTCTAAGCGTGACATTGGCGCCCAACGTGGGGCGCAAATGTCACAGTAAATAAATAAAACCTCCACGGCGTTCCTTTATCATCCGAGTGGTCCTCCTAGCATTCCAATCTCCTAAAAAGATGGTTGTACATTATCATTCTAAAATTATGTACTTACCGTTGTTTAACAGCGACTTTATGTTCAAACTAAGCTTCCTTGTCCTTTCGAGGCTCGAAGTTAGATATCCAGCGGTGATTGAAATTACTAGAACGATCGTACCCAAACACACTTGTACTGGTATCGTTGAAGCCCATAAATAGCCACGAATCTCTACCTGAAAAAATATTTCAAAAGGTAAAAAAATTGTCTTGCATTAGGTAAGTTGAATGTAACTAATTTTTCTTCATAACCCAAAGGTAAACTGGATGAGAATGCCTTATGGCATTAAGTTCGTCTAATGTTAATATTTTTGGCATTGAAGTATAAATAAATAAATAAATGTTTTGACTAAATAACGTATAATGAACAAACGTTATAGATACCTATTCTTTTTGAATACACACCTTTTCTTTGACAGAGTCTATATAGCATTGAACTAGAGCCAAATTACAAAGCAACACCTGGGTCGTGAATGCGAAAACCTGCACATAATAAAATATTGTAGGTAAGCGTAACCTGGTGACTTCTTATGTCTTCATGCAGAATTTTTATTTTCTCTCAAGCCATGTTTGGTTAGTACTTATGTATTAGATAGATGATAATAAATATAGGTAGTATAGTTACTTACTGGGAATCTAAAAAGTTTGGTGACATCGGCCAGCGTGTCCAAAATGCTATAAACACTGTAAACCAATTCTTGGTATTTGCTATTTTCGGACTTCTCATAGTAATTGACAGTCCACAAATCTTTTTTGTTATATTCCGTCGGTGTGTCTGATGTGTACAGTGATAATTTAGCACGTAAAATATTATTTACATGTGTTACACGAATGATCAGAAACAATAAAATAATCCATAGTAAAAATATTTCGTAACAATTTGCTATTGACATGGTCATGATGAGCAAAGTTGAGTAGCAAATTTGTTGAGCCACTACAATGCTGCAAGTTATTGTCCAGGTAAAACAAGCAAGTGTACCTGCAAATGTTACTAGGTAACTCAGTACAGTAAGCCTCTTATTGAAAAGTACTGCGTTACTCATTTTTAATTCGCGATCAATTTTTTGCAGTTTCACATACAGTTTGCTATTTAACTCTTCACTGCAGAAGTTATTTTGCCAGGCTATAAAGGTATTGAAGATCCCATTTATTGCCAGACTAAGTCTTAGCAATACATCTATTTTGGCTGAACCTAATATAGATGAACAATTAAGATTAGTAATGAGGCTAATCGAGTGAATGGTCCACAAAATACAGCTGTAGAATTTATAGTTGATTGACGATTCTGTTACAAATCTGTACGCTATCTTCACCCGATGAAAGCCCAATATTGTTTGCACAAAGTGTAAGGGTTCAAAAACTTTTAAGAAGTTTTCATCTAGGATATCCGCTGAAAGTGCGTCGACTTTTTTAAAACTCATAATGACACCACGTTCTAAGCCAACGGTAAAACCAACAATGGTTGTTTTATTAATAAAATACCTATTCGATTACGTGATTTGTTTGATAAATCAAGAAATCGAAAATTATTGTGCCGTGGGGAAATCAAGTGAAGTTATCTAGTACTTACTTCGTTTGCATATTTAATAAAGTCATATTTTAACGGGATACCTATAGAATTTGTTAATCCATTATGGAATCAACATTTGTAACACCATTTCAAATAGGTATTACTTAAATTAAAATGTGTTAGTTAGAACACTTCGTTATTTTTTATGAACAAGAGGTTCAGTGTAAGTGTTTGTACCAACAGTAGGTATAATAATAATAGAAACGTTTTAACATTCGACGTATATTTTTTCTATTTATGTGTTAACAATAACAATGAAGCATACTTACATACTGGTCTACAGTTTATCTACACTAAATACATAATATTTGTTCATCACAAACAAGACTGTTAACATGAAAAAAAAACCACATCACTCTCTTACTTTTTTATAAAAATTAAAATGATTGATTTCATAAATATTTATACTCACAGATAAGTATTAATTTATGTAAACTATTAGCAGAAACGGTTTGCAAACTCATTTTAAACAATTTGATTGACTTTCACACGGGTTTCAGTCTTTGACTTATGTGTTAGTAAATTACATATAAAAATTGTCTTTTTTTTGAAAATTATAAATAACTTGAAAAAATCGAACTGCCTAAGGCGGGAATTGAACCCACCCTTAGGCAGTTCGATTTTTTCAAGTTATTTATAATTTTCAAATTAGTTTGAGATGCGACTCTTAACGCTAAAAATTAAAATTGTCTTTATTATAAAATATTTAGCTAGTTACACAATTATTAAATAAATTATTCGAAATGAATATGTAAATGCAATATTAAAAGCATATTAGTTCAACTGTCTCAAAGTTTACAAAGTACCTTAATGATTTTTTAATTTTAAAATTGAGTCCAAGAGTTCCATATTTTTTCTTAATGTGCATGCATACTTATTTAAAAAAAATTAACTATCCAAAAAATGCATTTACAAAATAATTAGCACCAGATGATCCGTCTTTCATATTTTCTACGGCAAAATAAATAAATATAATATCTATGAATTGTATAACATCTACTAAACTAACTACCAATACTTTAAGAAAGTCACCCTTATAACGTGTTCATAAAATCTCAATTTTAGACATATATAAAAAAAAAACATTTTTATGAAACCGAATTCCAATTCGTATACGAAACGCACATATTTTTATACGATTGGTATGCGAAATTGAATTCTACCGCCTTATTAATAAAATTTACACCCTAGTAGAAATCTGGCTTAAGTTGTCATCTACTATTTTTATTATTATGGGGATAAGTGTATAAAACACAGGTCTACTATATAAAAATAAGTCGGGTTTTCCTCCCTGACGCTATAACTCCAGAACGCACGAACCGATTTCCACGGTTTTGCATTCGAAAGGTCTCAGGCTCCGTGGGGTTTATAGCAAAGAAAATTCGGGAAAAGGGGGTAAAACGGGATCCACGCGTACGAAGTCGCGGGCGGCCGCTAGTTTAGTATGGAAATGTCATTTTAATCCAGAGTTCATCCTAGGCGTAACTTTTTATTATTATGGGGATAAGTGTCTAAACACAGGTTTCATTTTTATGCAGTTAGTTTCCGCAATAACGAATTGATTTATGAATTCAAATCAATTTTCAAACGTTTTATTTTACATTATTTTGAACCGTTCCATAATACGGGCTTATGTTTATTTATTTATTTATTCATTTGCATTAACATATTCAGCACTATTATTATTGTCCATCCTGTAAGTAAAGGGTATGTATGGAATACGAATACTGAATTGAATATTGAATGTTAGAATAGACTAGACAGTGGAATATTCGTCATAGATTTTTCGTAAGCAGGCAAATATGAATTTTATTATAGTTTTAGAAGCAATTTTGCAATTTGCAATATAAAATTAGTTTCCTGTGTCATCAATATGGGCAGCTTTCTTTCTCGAGTGTCGGCTCATATACTCATATACCTAACACCCTGTATATGTACTCATAGCTATAATATGTAGGTATAATACCTAACTTTATTTGATGAGGCTCCGATTACGATGTATGTAATTTTATATATCGGTGGGCTCAAAAACTGAACTCCGACAAACGTTACTTCGACATTACGTTACTCCGACACTACTGAATATCGACATGACTTTACTTCGACACTACACTACTTAGACAAAGGCGAATATACTTTGTCGAAGTAGTGTAGTGTCGAAGTAAAGTCATGTCGATATTCAGAAATGTCGGAGTGACGTAATGTCGAAGTAAAGTTTGTCGGAGTTTACTTAGGCAGCCATATCGGTGTTATGAATTTTTAAGCGATAACTCTACTAAGCTTAATTAAACGGTCGGATCACTAGCGTTTTTCTACAAATAGTAGCTATTTCTTGGTACCTATATAGGTGCCGCATAGCCTTCTGGAGAAGGGTTTACCCCCCTTCTTCTCATCAATAAAATGATTATAATGATTTCTTTCCGGACAAGACCCTGACGTTATTAATATTAGTCATAAGTTATATTTCATTTGTACTAACCCATGGACCAACTGTAGTCTGAAATAATAAAATATTTGAATTTGAATTTTGTTATCCATATTAATATTTGTTGCGCCTCATCTTTTTATTGTTCAGTTTTATAGTCGTATCCTACTTGTTTGTGCCTCACTAAATACTAAATAAAGTATAAGTGATACTGTAAATCAAAATCAAACGCAATAATTTTACTACATAATATTATTTTTATTTGTTTAAAAGCAGACACATTACAAAAGCAACAATTGCAGTTCCGTAACAATCATAGCTGTGACACTACTGAACAGGCGAAGGACGAACATCCCCTCGATATTCCACATGCCATACACAGAGAACCGGGGAGGGCTGCTCTCTATTGTCTTAAGCATGTTCCTCACCTTTTCTCTCACAGNTAGTTAGTGCAGAATCGTTAAAACTATAGCTATCTCTTTCATTTGCGTGCTATTTCGTATCTTTTGTTTCACTTATCAGTTACATTTGTCAATGTGTGCGATTTGGAATAGCTCGGCACGTATTCAAATCGTAATTTCTATGAACGTAACATATCTATAGTTCTTTAATATCATTGAATAAAAAGGTTTTCATACATAAGCATTTTGTGAAACCAGTTTCGAGCCTTGCCCCTAGCGATTTAAAGTATAGANAGCTCCTGTGCACAGGCTGGGGATGGTCTCTGGCTACATCCCATGATATAGTCAGAGACTAGATCCAGCATGTGCACCACTTTCACTTTTGTCGATTATTTTGCGCTTAAAACGGCCTCTACGTGTTGGATCTGTATCCCCACGCAAGCCTTATAAAGGACCGGGCCACTTTTGACCCGTGAGCTCCAAAGCGTACAAACATAAATAATAATAAATCTTTGGACAATTTCACACAGCGCCAGCTAGCCCCAAAGTAAGCAACTTAATGCTTGTGTTATGGGTGCTAGCTTAACGGATATACTACTTAGGTATATACTTTTTTTTTAAATACATAAATATTATACATAGTCAAACCCAGACCCGACACAGAAATTAAAATTCATCATTTCAATTTCTGCCCGGCCGGGAATCGAACCCGGGACCTCTCGGCATAGTAGTCCGTTCTGAACCACTACACCAAACGGCCGACAATTGTAAAGATACTGGTTTAGATATTTATGTTGATTTCAGGTCGAAATCTCTCCTAAACAGGTATTAATCCTGATACTTCCAACTTTCTCCTCTTATATTTGAGTCAAGATTTGATCCAAGAGAGGTTTCAAGGCCCTTGCCTTTGGAAGACGTTGTAGCAAATAATCAAAGAAAGTTACGAGCATCTCATGCTTTTGTAACAAAACATTCCAATAGTTGTTAAAGAGTCAGTTATTTACACAAATGTTGCAAATATGTGACATGTGGATTGTTGAGAAAACTCCAATCAGACTTCTACCTCCAAGAGAATGTTCCTTACAAAATTATCATCGAGGTAGAGTTTTGTAATAGTAGTAACTTTTTATAGAGTAAGGCCCAGAACAGACGGTGAAACGCAACTGCAACGAAACTGCAACTGCTAGTTACTTTTGAGTTGCATCTAAGTTTCTGACATAGCGTCCGTTGAGAGACCACACATGACGCGACCAGTTTAAAACTTTCAGTTTCATTCATCAGAATCATCAGAAAGTTGCAGTTTCGTTGCAGTTGCGTTTCACCGTCTGTTCTGGGCCTAAGTATAATGGCGCAAGTACACTACGAGTACCTATGCGGTAAATAAAATTGATCGAGACGAAGCGCTTGATCGCACACCGAAGTGTGGGTGACACACATGGCCAATTCCCCGCATAGTGTACTTTTGCGCCATAAACATAAATTGTGCGCATACATCTAAATCACCACTACGTGTAAGTCGGTACATACCATCTGTATAAACTGACATAATCGATATGCACAAGTGTTTAGTCTCCTTGATTTCTCTTAAAAAAAAATCGCATCGTGAACATATGAAGAGAACTATAAACGTATTGCTGAATGTGAAACATATAACGGTTATCCATTCTAAGGTCCCGATCAACTAAAACACAACAAAGAAATAAATTAATAAAAATTGATTAGTGTTTTATCACTATATTTAAATTTCTATAAAAGAGANGTTGAATGTGTGTGTGGGAGCTGTGGTGGGGGAAATGTGGGGACACTGGTTCTCGTTGTAGTTACGCGCGACTTCATATCTATTCTCTTTCTATGATCTGAGAATAAAATATTTGAATTTGAATTTTGTTATCCATATTAATATTTGTTGCGCCTCATTTTTTTATAGTTCAGGTTTATAGTCGTATCCTACTTGTTTGTGCCTCACTAAAAATACTAAATACTGTAGATAAAAATAAAACGCAATAATTGTTATTATTTTTATTTATTTAAAATCAGACACACTTTACAAAAGCAACAATTGCAGTTCCGTAACGATCATAGCTGTGACAATACTAAACAGGCGAAGGAGGAACATCCCCTCGATATTCCACATGCCATATACTGAAAACCGGGGAGGGCTGCTCTCTATTGTCTTAAGCATGTTCCTCACCTTTTCTCTCACAGGACCTAGAATTGTAAAGATGCTGGTTTAGATATTTATGTTGATTTCAGGTCGAAATCTCTCCTAAACAGGTATTAATCCTGATACTTCCAACTTTCTCCTCTTATATTTGAGTCAAGATTTGATCCAAGAGAGGTTTCAAGGCCCTTGCCTTTGGAAGACGTTGTAGCAAATAATCAAAGAAAGTTACGAGCATCTCATGCTTTTGTAACAAATCATTCCAATAGTTGTTAGAGTCAGTATTTACACAAATGTTGCAAATATGTGACATGTGGATTATTGAGAAAACTCCAATCAGACTTCTACCTCCAAGAGAATGTCCCTTACAAAATTATCATCGAGGTAGAGTTTTGTAATAGTAGTAACTTTTTATAGAGTAAGGCCCAGAACAGACGGTGAAACGCAACTGCAACGAAACTGCAACTGCTAGTTACTTTTGAGTTGCATCTAAGTTTCTACCATAGCGTCCGTTGAGAAACCACACATGACGCGACCAGTTTGAAACTTTCAGTTTCATTCATCAGAATCATCAGAAAGTTGCAGTTGCGTTTCACCGTCTGTTCTGGGCCTAAGTGTAATGGCGCAAGTACACTACGAGTATACGGTAAATAAAATTGATCGAGACGAAGCGCTTGATCGCACACCGAAGTGTGGGCGACACATGGCTAATTCCCCGCATAGTGTACTTTTGCGCCATAAACATAAATTGTGCGCATACATCTAAATCACCACTACGTGTAAGTCGGTACATACCATCTGTATAAACTGACATAATCGATATGCACAAGTGTTTAGTCTCCTTGATTTCTCTTAAAAAAAATTCGCATCGTGAACATATGAAAAGAGCTACAAACGTATTGCTGAATGTGAAACATATAATGATTGTCCATTCTAAGGTCCCGATCAACTAAAACACAACAAAGAAATAAATTAATAAAAATTGATTAGTGTTTTACTGTTTTATCACTATATTTAAATTTCTATAAAAGAGAGAAGAAAAATATACTAGTTAAGGTCATAGGTCCTTAAAACGTCAATTACAATAAAATTGTACCAATCACAGACAAAAAGGTGATATGACGCGTCATTTCAGAATATATTTCTACTCCCGAGTTTTCTGAGATAGGATAGTCATACTTTCACTAACATAAATGAAATAAACATAGGCGAAACAGGAATACATAACAAATCTTACATTAAATTGTAGCCCTGTTATCACTAGTTGCAAATTAATTGCACTTTCTATTATCAGTTTGCTGGTAAAGAGGAAAATCTGAAAAAAACATCAAAGTTAGCAATTTCCTGCGAAGATTGGAGGATTTGATCAAAATAAAAAAGTGTGTAGCTAGGTTAGTACTTATTTTAGTAAAGAATAGACACTAGTATTTTAAAAGACTCAAGTTTTTAAGTAGGTAGGTAGTACACGAGTATGTAGTTACCTGAAATTGATAAAGATTTCTGAATTCAAAAAAATTCTTGATAACCTTTTTCAAATAAATATCCGTTGCGCTGTATCTGAGATCGTGTGTCTTTGCAGCCAGCTCGCGCATAAATTGTTTAGGATAAAAATAAGAATAATCGTTTGAGTTAAACTTGTTGATACTTGGCAAGTGGTTCTGGAGTATAGCATTAATAAAACGCACCCGAATGGTGTAATATGACATAAGATTAGAGCAATGATTTAGTTCCAGCATGTTTGTAATTTCACTTATCAATATCGTTACAACAGTTATCATCATTGGTAAAGCGAGAAAGATAGAAGCAATAGTGTTTAGTACTGTCCAAATTGATAAAATCAAAATTGTCGTTATCGTATTGAATCTGCGAAGTGTAGTGTTGATTGAATTATTATGTTCCAGTTTCATGGAACGGTCGAGTTCTTGCATAGAGATGACAAAGTCGACATTTTGGGTGTTATTTATGAAGCGAACATGGATTATATTAAAAAAATACATCAAGATCTGTATTAAAGATGTACCTACCGCGCTGCGGTACAAGTTGATATTTACACTGTATTTGTATAAATAAGTTACAAAATTAATCATGTACAAGAAAGCACTCATTACGATTATCATCAGCGTATAGGCCTTTTGGTAGACGGTCGGTGAAGACACGAACCTATCCCTAACATCGACTCTGCATGAGCCAAACAAGACTTGCAATATACGTAAAACCGAGAAAGTTTCATAAAGACTTTTGTCTAGAATATTTTCGGAAAGGTATTCTTGTCCAATCATTTTGGGAGTTGTAGCTATTTTAGCAGAAATATAGCGTAAGTGGGTGTTAAGTATAGCAAGTTGTTCTTTGTTACTGTTTTAGGCTATAACAACGTTCGATTTGTGAAGTTCACCAATGTATCTGTGAACAAACGTGGTATGATTAAGTATTAGAAAATGTGATTTATAAGTAAATGGGATCCTCCTCTCCACTTACCACCTACTTACTTAGGTACCTACCTATTACCAAACTTACAAGTTTTAATACCAACGCGCAACGTCTTGCAGCTTGTAGATAAACTGTCTGTATTAGATAAACGTAATTTAAAAAAGATAATTTACAAAAAGTGCTTTATCTACAATGATTTTATCAGTAATGATAACACTTATCGGATTAAAAGTTAGCTGGTAATGTTCATCATTGTAATGAGTTTTTGTTAAGTGCTTTCTTATCTATCATGGGGTGGACAGGACCTACTTATCACTAATAAATGAGTAGAATAGTTAGTCCTACTACGTGCAATTAATAGATAGATCGATTGTTACCTATCATTGTAACTTTCTAGTAATGAATAATCTAATTCCCACATAAAATGTTATTGAAATGAGACGCGACAAACAAAGGAAAAAGCAGAAAAGATTTGCAGGGGTTTCCGCTAAAAAAATCTTTCATGAAATCCCGAAACTTAATTTTGACACGACTCTGACTACGAATTTAATAATAAGTAATTGACTAAAATTAGATTAGTAAAAACTTTGTAATCGATTTTGTCTATCCAAAAACAAAGACTTGATGGATTAGGCTTGCACTCTAGAAATAATTTATTATTAGGCAATACAACATTAATGCAACAGTATTCCAACAAGTAGAGATAGGTTTGATTATACGGTCTCAGAGTCGACAGCATTTACCTACATTTACACGGACTACATATTTTGACTGGTCCTTAGATTTGTATTGTTGACTGTACAAGAATAGAAAGAATAATGTTACAACAATTCAATCAATCCTCATCTATACTTATAATAAATCTGTGAGGTCAATTCTGTACATGAAATATACATATTTTCAAAATAACTACCAGGGGGTGATTTTTTTTTATCCACAACGAGGAAGCTCTTGGCCTGTATCTCACCTGATGGTAAGTGACGATCAGGCCGATTAAGGTGGATGCGAGCTTCACCCGGAATCCTCAACCACAGAGGAACTGGCTATCTTACCTCTAACTGCCGGAACACAACAATGCTGTTAACATTGTTGTTATGGCGACAGACTTAGGTAAGATGGTGGTAGCTAGCCAGGCGGACTTAGAACAAGCCCTACCACCAACCAAACCGAACAGAAAAATCTGCCCCCACTTGGAATCGAACCCGGGACCTCTGCGTCTGAAGCAGGTGGTCTTACCACTAGACCACAGAGGCGGTTGGCGATTACTTGAGATGAAACGGATATCCGGTAACTATCCAGTAGGCCGGATATCCGGCCTAAATTTACTATCCGGCCGGATACCGGATATTAAAAAACTACGACAACAATTTACTATAATAAAATGAAATACATTAGTCTACCAATAAAATGGCTTATAATACTGACGGCTTTTAATAAAAGTCCAAAAAATTACAAAAAAGCCATATTAAGGCCTTTCAATAATTTTTTTCTGGGCTTTCCTCTCTAATGAGGAATACATAAATAAATAGTAAATATCAGTTAATGTCGAAATATTTCCAAAAAAATAGGCGACCTTTTTTATTGATGGTCTGTTTTTTTTCTGATTACCTGATGCAGTTCAGTCAGATTACGCAGCAAGTAAACTAATTTAATTTTCGCTATTCAATCGCACAGACGCACACTCACGATGGCCACCGAAATCGCCCGAATTGATCTACCCCCTAGACAAGTGGCAAAATCGGACATTCTATTCGGACGCATAAGATTTTCGAAAAGTGTGACTTGCCTAGTCTACTAGACCCACTGATCGCGCTAAACTCGTCACGACATGCAAAGAGACAATGGGCCAACTATCCGGCCGCCGGATATCCGGCTATCCGGTCTAGCAGCTCACCGGATATCCGGTATCCGGACTATCCGTTTCATCTCTAGAGATTACTGATCGATACTGATGCCAAAAATGCTATCAGTAAAATTTTTGTCTGTCTGTCTGCATGTTCCTTATAGAAACAAAAACTATTTTAAAAATATGTTTGTTTTGATTTGGTGATTGATTGGTTTTCGGTAATCATCATTTTGTGTTGACGTTGTGCGCAGCTGTGCTTTTTGCCTTGAGTTTGCAGAATGAGATTTTTCTTTGATGTGTGTTTTTCTTATTTCTTTAGTACTTTGTGCAAAATCACAAAAACTAAGTTTTTGCTTTACCGTCCATCAACCCTGTTAACGAAACTTGGTACATTTATTCTTCATACTCCTGGGCAGGTTATAGTATACTTAGGAATTCCCACAGGAACGGGAATTAGCGGGAAAATTCTTTTGTATGAAAAATCTAAACCGCTTATGTTAGACGCTTGAAATTTGGCATGCAGGTACCTTAGTAAACTTAAAGCATAGTTACAACAGGATATTGCAAAATTCCCACGGGAACGGGAGTTAGCGGGAAAAAACATTTGTATGAAAAAATCGAAACCGCGTAAGATAGATGAAGGGGGTAAAATGGGATCCACGCGTACGAAATCGCGGGCGGCCGCTAGTAGGTAATAAAATTCATCTTCAAATACAATAATATTTATTTTGAAAGCAAACACACTTTACAGGAGCAACAATTGCAGTTCCGTTACAAACATAGTTGTGATAGTACTAAATAAGTGAAGGAGGTACATTCCTTCGATATCCCACATGCCGTATACAGAGAATCGAGGAGGGTTGTTCTCTATTGTTCTAAGCATTTTCTTGGCTTTTCTTCTGATAGGACCTATAAAAAAAATGTCAATTTTAGGTTGATTTTATACTTACTTGACTCTGGAGCGTTATTTATTTATTTATTATATTATGCTACTTTTGCTGGTTATTACATACCATTCGTGTAAACAGACATCACTGATAGACACAATTGCTTAGTCTCTTTAAATTCCCTTAAGAATATTTCGCATCGTATACATATAAAGAGAGCTACACACATGTTGCTGAGTACGAAACTTGTAATTNCATAACCCTTTGAGTGTAAATGAGAAGTACCCATTTCTAGCCATCACAAAAATCTGAAAAAAATTGGGCAGGTAGCTTTTCTTCACTAGAAACTGGTAAAAATTAATTTAAGGTCAGGCTAGAAATATACCATTTTCATTACTTTCTGAACACCCCTCGTACATTCATGGTAATTTTCATTGATTTTGTTGAACCTTTTATGATATATTTGCATAATAAGTATAAGTAACCGGAAAGAAATCTAGTCATTTAGTACAAATTACTGGCATTACTTACTCTAAAATGCTCATGTAAGCGTGTATACTTATTTAAGTACAATTGAGAGTATAATCGACACTCGACAGTTAAGATTCAGTCCTTAACCAGCATTCGGTGTTGTATAATCTCTCTAACCTTCGCTCCCATTCTTTATGGCAATTCTGTCAATATGTATGTGGATATGGTGTGTAGATTCAAATCATACACGTATCCACAGACGTTACTACGAGTATAATAATTATCATCCATGTGCCATAAACTTTTGATGTCAATCATTCACATGCAAATGATAGCGACTATTAAACACTAAATACTGCCTCCAACCGATTTCGGCAGTCAGCCACGCTTTCTTCACTTTTGTCATGATAATAAATACCGGTTATTGCTTGTATACCGTACTTTAATGAATATTCTATTAGACGTTTTATTGAACAGAATAGAAACATTATTCGTCTGTCGTATTCAGTACATGTAATATCATTGAGATGTAGAGTCATTTTATAAAATATCACTTTTTCGTCTGTTTCTTTCGTTTGTGTATTGATTGTTATTGTATTTTAAGTTATAAAATTAAAATAATAATATGCGAAGTGAAAGTTACCTTAAAAAGACATAAACGCACTCAGTTTGTAATAATAATAATAGTTACAATATTATTATGTATTATTAAATTATTTTGTAAAAAGTGACTATTATACCAACATAATTACCTGTTACATGTTTATACAGCTTTTACTATCATACTTCAGAAAGGCTAGTTTAATTTATCGTAGGGTGGCCATGAAAATTCTTCCTGTGAGAAACCGTAACAAGGTACGCAAGCGAAGCCGCGGGTAAAAGTTAGGATGATATTATAATACAGTAGTATTATATGCCTACGAAATTCGTAGGCAGGTCGAAGTCGTAGGCAGGCACTACCGCGATGACTATCAAAAGCTTTCTGCTTCAGAGACGCTCGTAGAAAGATTTTTATGAACGAACTCATTACAGAAATTGCAAAACAAATGAAATGTGATTTGGGTTTTAAATAAACCCAATTACATACTTTATTTTCAAAAATACGCGTACCTACATAGCTTTACAACATACGGGTACAATCAAGCTGTAATTCAGTATATCATCGGTTTCAATCGCTGTTTGTATTCAAGACGAATATTATGAAGGATATTTCAAAACAAACCAAAGATTAGGTACAAAGAAGACTCCAATTTATCATACAAAAACCACACGTAACATAAACCAGACGATATAATACATACATTCACCTTGTTTACTTTAGTGTTAACAGAAGCTCACTTCATCATTTCCAATGTAATTATTTACTATAGAAAGGCTTATCAAGCTTAACACTGAGGCAAAAATTGCATAATATCCTATCCTAAAATAACAAAGGCCTACCATCATATTAATTATTTAAAACGATAATAACGCCTTAATGGTCCATACTACAACGATATTATTATTTGCCACGTAGGTTAAACCGCGGGCAAATGCTAGTCTTATTTATGTGCACTTTATGCACAATTTAGGAATGGAATTCGCTGCCTGCTGCTGTCTTTACCTAAAACTATAATCCGGGCCTTTTCAAGGCGAGAGTGAATAGGCACTTGCAGGGCAGATATATTATGTACCATCCTCGACTGCATCCCACTTAACACCAGGTGGGATTGTGGTCAAATAGCTGCCTTGTCTTGCATAAAAAAAAAGAAATAAACGGATTTCGATGACTCTTTACAGTATTATTGTTTATAACTCAGAATAACATATAGGCGATATGACGATCTGTGACAAACTGAATTTCACGCGTGTGATGCCGCGGTCAAAAGCTAGTATTTTAATATTTATGTGCACTTTATGCACAATATAGGAACTATTTATTACTCATTACCTGGGCACTCTACCGTTCAACCGTTTGTTAGTTAAATAACATAACCGATTAAATATTATGAAAGCTTTACAGACACACTTCACTGGCTCATTAAATTACCTAAAGAGTTTGTTAATAAGCACTTAAACCCGGTGTTAAATTAAATATCGCTAATAACCGTGCTCAGGCATCGCAACTAATCGATCACATCGGTTCACGTTCCGCTCTCTCGAGTAGGTACTCAAGTAGTATACTCGATACTAATCGATTTGGTTGTGTGTGATTTGAGATAGGAAACCAATGATATCGCGAAAAAGCTGCCATAATTTGTAAAGGAAAAAGGAAAAAATATTTATTTGGTACCATAAATAAAAAAATATAAGTCAACATAAAAGAAAAACAAAATTGCTGATTTAATTTCGTGTTTCTTATGTCAGTGGATGTGATTTGCGATAAACAATTTCAAACCTAAAACAATAGACTTATGCGTATTTTTATAAATCTATTAGAGACAAATCATATCATCGCACTTCATAAAGTAAGTAGACCTATCTATCCACTATGGTGACAAAACACTCTAACGTGGGAAAAACATCTTTCCCATTTCACACTTAACCTTCGAAGCAGAGAAAGCAATAATTCTCACTCTTCATTACCTCAACACAACTTCAAATAATTTCACACAATCATCATATCGAGTCGAAAGAAATCTAGCATTTC